CGAGGTGTGTTCGAACAGGGCAAGACGGATGGCTGCGGCCCACTGGGTTAGTGAATGGAAAGAATTGAAAAGCAGCAAGTACCGATTCTGCCCGGCAGAACATATGCTCAAGACATTCTTCAATGGCTCCATTGCTTGGTTTCTGGTGGGCAACGATTCAATCTGCTTTTTTGTTAGGGAGTCCAATAATTCTATAACGCTTCATCCGGTACTCACGACTCGAATTGAAGCATCCGCCAGATTGATGAACGTGGAAGGGACTTCTTCGCCTTCAGGTGCTGCGTCCAGCGCAGCTGCATCCCATACTGAAAGTACAGTTCCGATAAGTTGCGCATAGCATTCAACCCATTGTCGATCGGAACAAGGCCGGCCCTCTAAATGCAATTGAATCAGTTCGTGCTGGTTTCGACAGACACTTGAGACAGCACATACGGGTATCCAGATCATTCAGTTTGAGAAAGTATCCTTCATGGTACAATTTGTTCGCATGGTTATTGAGGTAAGTGAATATCGGCTGAAGTTCGGGCGGCGTATCTTCTGAAAGCTCCGTCAACGGAGGATTGTGAGAGAAGATCGTCGATGCTGGCCGTGAAATGCGGCGTTCCGCTTTTGTTGTCAACTGCGACGGCGAGCCTTCGATCGGTGAGGGTGTATCGGGAGAAGGAGTCTCGAAACTTGACGGAGAATTGCCCAACGTGATTGAGGCTGAAGCCGTACGATGATGCTGTCCGGCATTCTCCTTGCGGGACGAGCCACCGAAGGCTGATATGAAAGACCGCACTGATAACGCAAGGGGTTATCAGTTACCGTCATTCGGAATTCGGGGAAGGGGATGATCGTCTACTCACCACGCGAACGAACCATAATGATCGAGGTCTAGACTCCGGTGACTGATCTATTGATAGAATGAGGTAGAAGCTGCAGAAGAGAAGGCCAGCTGCCGGCTCAACCCTTGAGATGACAGATATGACACTCTACCGCCAGGCAACTCGACCGGAACGATAGGAAAAAAGCGTCAGGTCGCGGTTAAACGACAGGCAAGTAACGAGAGATGAAAAGTAAGAAAAAGAGCAACAGTGTGTTGAATCCGGGCTCCTCCGCGCGGAGGTAGCAATGGGGTCTCGGGCCCGCCAAGAATGGGATTTATTGAAGAGAGGATTCCATGTAGGATTTGATGCTGGAGTAGACAAAAATAGCGTATTGAAAAGAGTGGCAGGACAGGTCACAACCGCAGTATCGCAATGACCGCCAAGATGGGCTGGTGACGAGAAAAGTTCAGGTTGCAAGCGCCTGACTTGGATAATCGCGTCACAGGCTTGCTGTTTCAGGCTCTCTTTGATCAGTGGAGAGAACGAAGGCGGGGCGAACAGCGACGAGTGGTGGTCGAAATGAGGAGAAGAGGAGAGAGGGAATAGGTTTTTCGAGGAGGAAACAATCAAAGAGAAAATCCAGAAAACGAGTGAGAGAGGAAAGAATAGAAGGAAATCAGAGAGATGAGGAAAGATGGATCATAGGGTAAGGTAGTAAGTACTACTTACTGCTACTCCGTAGTAGGAGGAGTAGTATCGTTGTAGGTAGTGATGGCTGCCGAACGTGGGTCTAATGATGGAAATGGTAATTGTATTACCACAAATGTTTCGCAGAGCTTTCTTTTTTCCTTTCCTTTTTTTTTCCCGTTTGAATTATCTTGTGGCGGTGTCCAGGATCGAGGGACGATCAGGAGAATATCGATTGTAGCCAAAGAATAGGGATGAAATAGGAGAAATAGTATCAGGAGAAGGAGTTGGATGGAACTATTAGATAGACTAGATACTAGGCATAATAATAATAATACACCATGTCTATCTACCAGGGCAGATAATAATACCTACCAATATTAGATCTACATGCAGAATGACTGGACCACCAGGCCAAGTCGCGGCTGGCGTCATTGCCGTTCTTTTTAGTCTTCCGCTTCGACACCTTTCATCATACCTGGAGGGTTTGACTTTTGGCTTATCCATCTCTTCCTTGAATGCGATCATTGCTCCCATTCCAGTTGGTCATGTCGTTCTGTTCATGATGTGATCAGACACATTCTTCTCTTGTGCCTCCACTTCCGTGTGTACTGCTGTTGCCAATGTTAAATTATAGGTAAAAGGTCACATCAACAGAGTAATCATTTAGTAGACCGTCACTGGTAAGTGTTAAAATGAATAATGATAGTAAATAGTAGTAATATTTATCATTGGCTGCTAAATCAACCGTGACGCGGCCAGACCAACCACCCCGCGGTAAAGACAGGAAGTGCCCAATAATAATAATAAATACTGTAGTCTGTATCTACCTACCTAGGGTAACTTATGTATACAGTAGACTAGACGCAATCTATTAGTATTTGTATAGTAGTGCCCTTATGGACGGATAAACAAAAGTGAATCTTAGATGCGTCAATATCGAATAGGGGTTGAGCCTCAGAAAGATAATTTGTCGCTCAGAGAAGAAAAAACGTATCTGACCCTGTCCAGCGTACTCCTTACTCCAGTGTGTCAACGACACACCCAAATATAGCAACAGAGGAATATGCATGTCTTACTGGCAAGAGAGAATCCTAGGGAAAAGGCCGAGAAGTCTATTATCGGACTAGACTAGACGGCTAAATTACATTACGGCTCTTACTAAGGTACTGATTGTTTGGCGGAATATGGAGAGTACCCTTGTTAACACACACATATTTTCAACGAGGCGAGTAGAAGCGACCACATAGGTGAGCGCTAAGAGCAATTCAGTTTAATAGCGGAGTTGCATGGACGTTTGGATGGTATTATTTGGACATTTTGACAACTGCACAGCACTTGGCAGCCGTACACATCCGAATGGCCACAAGGGTAATCGTCGTAGGTAAATGTCATTCATTACAGGTCGTTGTAAGCCCCAATACCATGCAGCCACACCTTGGGGAACACTGGCTATTGCCTACCTTAGGCTCTACTGTGTAGGTACCTCTGTATATTTCCCCCGCAGGAATTTCAAGGAGGATTTCATATCATCCTGCTGCCGGTCTTTATCAAGGCAAGGTAACCAGTGGCAAACTTCTCGGTTGACGAAAGGGCAGTCGAAGACTAATTTCCAAGTCCTCACACTTCTGTGCCTGTCCGGTCTGTCCCTGGCTGCATGCCATGGATCAAGCCACTTGATTTGTCTCCATGGTTATTGCGCAAAGGGAAAGGCACGCCTTGCCACCATACAGGGCCGATGTTGGTGATTTTCTTTTCGAACCCCAGCAGCGATGAATGGACCTGTTTGAATTACAACGGTATAATTGTACTAGATCTTGACACAGCGATCGTCTAGTAAGTGATATGTGGTAGCGATTCACCGACAGCGAGTTTATCGCCTTAGACTCGGTAGTTAGAGCGGAGCTTCCCATGAGAACCCCATCGGACGCGCACTGAAAAGCAGCGATCTTTGCTGTAAACGGAGTGCCAGATAGCAGATTATGACCTCAGCAGTGGGCTTAATTTTCTCTTGACCCATGGATTCGGATGATCAACGAGGAGCCCTTGATGATCAACCACGTAATCATAATTTATTAGACAGATATTCCCTCATCCTCATGCAGTAGTAGTGGCAGTCCAAGTTCGCCTTGGAAACTTGAGAGCATTCGCGGTGACTGAATCTCGATCGTATCCTCGACAAGCCACCATCACCTTACGTCACGTCGTAGATCTAACTATCGCACAGGTCATCACCGGACGCCTGGGCTCTCTGTACCGAGTATATGCTCTTGGCGTGAGGTATGATCTTTATAATTATCGAGGAATAAGAAAAGACCAATATTAGATTCTGACATCCAATCGATCAGTAGTATCCACATTTCAAATTGACTTGATGAATGAGGGGTACGATGGGGAGGTCCAGGTCTCGATTATCTGCGCTGTTCCATACTCATGTTAGTCTTTTCGACGTGAACGTCCTTGGCAATTTACGAACATCCAAATAGGCCATATCGCTCTGGTCCACTATTCTGTAGACATTTCTCAGATCATGGATTGTCTGAGAAGATCAGAAAGATATCCTAGGGGACATTCAGAGGCTCTGCTTGGGCTCATCCTCCAGGAAGGCGCCATTCAGCACACCGAAAAGCAGACGCTGGACGATTCAAGACTCAGACTACAGGTAGACTGTCAGTCCGACTCGATGCATTTGACTCTGAGGATCAACGTGTTCCAAACCCGCAAGGAATTCGACTTAAATCAGGAAGTCGACTGCTATATGCTTCTGATAGACCGTTCGAACGGAAAGGACGTCCACATTTCAGTTGTGTGAACTCTTTCAACTTGCAAACAGTATAGCTTTTGACAGCGCCGTCTTTCCGGCGTTATTCTCAGGTGGAACATCTGATTCGTGATGGATTCACGAGGATCAGTCCTCGAGATCATTGCTGAAGATTATGGCCTTAATTGTCGAACTAGGCCTAAGCTAACACGGCTGCCCAAGTGGTGAAACAGGAGCGACTGACCGTGTATCTGTCTTTTGCTATGCCGATAATGTGGAGGCATATATGAACTCAGTCAGAGTTGGAGAATCATTACTCTGGACTGAAGACTCAACTGGCAGGGAAGATAGCCTCATATGACTGCTGTTCTTACCTTGAATCCAGGGATAATCCAGTTTGTCACTGAGATTGACCGATAATAGCTCTAATGACAGATTCTCAGGAAAAAGTGAATATCTGTTCTTGAGGTTCTTCCTCTTTAAATGATGTCGTGTGTGGCATCCTCGCCATGACAACAGATATTCACTGCTCATTGCTCATTCACCCTCAGCACATCCGTGACCTCTTCCTCCCCTCCACTCCTTTTCATCTCTCCCAAATCTCTCCTTCTTTACATCACCGAAACGTATCGTTTATTATTCGATACCATTTTGGCGTTTCTTTTGTCGTACTTTTGTTGTGTTTTGTCTGTCTCAGGCCTCGAAACATCCAATGAGCAGTGGCTGAGCCTTTTGTCGCCAATATGGACGTGTTCCCTCTCTCGCCTGAGTTTGAATGCGAGGATCCATTTGAGACTACCGTTGGACATGACGATATCGAAGAGAGTGAAGATGAGGATCTGCCTTGGGCTGACCAGAAAGTCAAAGAAATCACCGCGGCCGAGCTTCAGGACTTTGCCCAACTGATGGACGAATTTGCCAAAGGATTCGATCCCGACTCCCTTACTCGAGAGATCATGGCTATGCTACCACTGCTCGAGGAAGATCTATTCCCCAGCTCCTTCGCCCATCTCTTGATCCTCCTTCTTCAGACCGACGGCAAGATCGAAACCGCCCAAGTGAAGCTAGTTCGGTGGCTTCGTGCTCGTTATCCCATTGCTCTATGTGAGCCAAGCGAGACTCAACTGGTCGATGAGACGTTCTTCATGTCCGAGATAGAGATGTTGAGACGGCTGCTATCGACTTTGCGTGGAGACGATGACAAGACCATATATTGGATCAACTGCAGGCCCTTTGAGATTGGCAAGTCCTGCGAGACACTTGAAGCGTCCATTAAGGTGATTCGAGCGTTCGAGCGTGACATGCGGTCTGCAACGGAGGAGATTGATGAGGAAAGTAAGATTTCACGTCACTGTTCCCCCTGCCGATGAAGCTGACCACAATGAACACAGGACACTTCTATAGTGATCTCCCCGTCTGTACTGAGCGCACGGTGTTGACAAGCATKAGGGCACAGCGGTGTGACAGTTCTCAGGCATGCATTGGCTGGAACAACTATCTGTCCTCTGAAATTGAGCTCACAAGGTTCCATCAGTTTTTCAAACACCATGTCATGGAGCATGACCCTGATAAGGCTCGTGGATTTGGATGGCTGCCACCAGAACATATCAGGATCCCTCGCTCGTCATCTACCGGTGCTGATCTTGTCGATGTGTCTGATTGGCCTCTGGACGATCATCAGAAAAAAATCATGAGTCTGCTGTTCAAGGTTGCTCAGTGGCTTGGTCTAGCGAGAGGACTAGCGGCCGTTCATCTCTTTTGCGACGTTGCTCGTAACTTTACCATCCACAAGCCCTCTGAGAAACCGAGTGCCAGCTACATCCTCTTCATGCAGAAACTTGCCGAGGTCAGACTGTGCCCCAGCTCGATTAAATCCCAGGTCCCGACGCCATTTCCCTACGACGACGAGATCTACGCGAACCGCAACCCGGCCTTCTTTATTGACGTCTTCAGATCTGCCAAAATTTTGGTGTGGTGCCAGGTTGAGATGGCCTCTTTTCTGAAGAAGAGCGACAAGAAGCAGGGCTATTCTAACCACGGCACCTCTGGTCGCCAATCTTCCAAGGGCATGCAGATTCGTATGGTCACTGAATTCCCCGAAATTCATGGATCTCTCGCTGGAGCATGGGAGGGCAATCGCACAGTCAGTCTACATAGGGAATGAACTAAATTGCCTGATCTTTTTATGGAGATTGCTAACTTCTACTTGCTTAGCAGAATATGGCAAAGAGAACCAGTCCATTGGCTATTCCTTCTGCAAGCCTTCTTGCTGATGAAACAGCTCTTGACCATCCTGCTTCCCCAGAGGAACAGCAATTGGTTTATCACTTCGCAGGTTACGCACGTTCCATCTAGGATTTAAACTGCACGCCGGCAGCGACGTCCTGCACAGCCTTGATGTTGCTTGGGCCAGCGATCCGTTGAATATCCGCCTTTGGACAGTAACTTGGCCATCTCCTCTCAGGGAACATTCAAAAATCGGCAAAAAAAAGAGATAAATTAAAAAAGAACGGGAGGAAGTCATGGATTGCGGCTTGAGCTGCGTTCAGTCTCAAGGATCAGTTTCAATCTGGTTTGGTACGGGCTTCCATCCTCTTCCGTCGCATCTAGCACAAACCCCTTGGTTCCCAAATTGTTTCTTCGTGGATGAAGATAACTTTTGTCTTCTTGAAGCTTTCTGGCTGCGATGATCGCATGCGCTCGGGGCCGGTCTTCTGTTGGCACTTGTCGAGGCATTGCGGCCTATCTAGTTTCGACATCGAAGAAACAAAGACACTCATTTCCAGGGACATGAATGAAAAAGCAGGAAAAAGAAAAGCACATATGTACTTACAATAATTGCTCATACTCCCTTTTGTGAATTTTGTTCTGTTACGCATGGTTGATGCATTTTTCCATTTTTATCTCACGTTACGCGGAGCGGAGCCAGCAGCTAACTGTTCAACCAACCAGGTCATGATGCTGAATTCCGTGCAACGTACTGACTCACGCCGAGATGAGTGTCTCCGCTTGGGGCATCACTGGGTATTGCTTTGTGAATGCTGACACTGAGGCCAGGAGTGGACTGACAGCCAGACCAGACCTTCTCCAACGGGCCTGGTTTGATAGGTCGGAACTCTGAAACCTGACGACTACTGACCTGCAGCAGCTCGATCATCGTCAATACTGTGCTGTTGAAAGTAAAGGTGAGCGATTGGAATTGATTATAGTAGTTTGCTTCTTAACAGCCTGCTAGATTTGCGTAGGAGTACGAGCATGAGGTTGACAGCCATCTATGCGATCTACATATGATCCGGGTAGTGGTTGAAAGAAGTAGATTTGATCCAGCATATTCCTCATTTATCATGATCAGCTCAAGGATAGAATCTATGAAAGAAAAGTTTTGGCCATAGTGAACTCCCGAAAATAACCAACAGTAAATCGCTCCAAAGCTACGACTCCATCATATCGTAAGCCAGTACAGGATCAATCAGCGCCATATCATCGCCAGTAGTGGGTATCGTAGAATTGCTGTCATGCATCATTACATTGGCGCCGTGCGTAGGCAACGGCTTCGCCTCGACCGCGCCAGAAGCCGCTATAGTCTCCGTCCCGTTCAACGCATACGGGTCATACGACGAAGGATCGTTATCGAATTCGAGGCCGTAGATGCCCCCAAACAGTTCCTCAGAGGACGAGGACGCAGAAGCAGACGCGCCGAACTCATGCGCGAGCAGCGCCCGCCGCAGAAATAGATCCCGGGTTTCCTCTTCGGAGAAATTATGCTTGCCGCTCATATGGACCCAGAGGTCATAGTCTCTGTGGAATCGATGCGGGCACGACTCAACAAGACACGAGATGTGGCGGCCCGTTTCCTCGGCGTAGCCCTCACCCGTGAGCGCGGCCAGCGCGGACACACCAGGTGAGGTTGCGGTGGAATGCTGTCGTTCGCGGGTGAGGCCGAGACGTTGGCGGCGTTCGGCTTTGGCGTTCTGGTAGCCCAGGTGTGCGGTGCGGATGTGTTCTTCCAGCGCGAGCTTGCTCCCGTATCGCTTGCCGCAGCCGTCGTTGTTCCAGCCGGGCACCTTTTTCGAGGACGAGAGGTCGGTCTCGCCGCAGACGAAGCGTTTCTCGCCTTGGTGGACGGTGCGGATGTGCACGGTTAGATTTCCCTTCTTGGTGAAGCTGCGGTCGCAGCCGGGGACGGTGCAAGCGAATGTCTTGCGTTCCTCGAGACTGACGTCGCCGTGCGCGACTTCCAGATGACGGCGGAGTTCGCGGGATGTCGCGCAGGTGAGAGCGCAGTTGGGACATTGAGGGGGGTGGACGGATCGGATATGAGCTTGTAGGAGGGCGTAGGTGGGAAAGATTGCTGAGGCGTCCTCTGCGTGCTGGGAGCATTCCGTGCAGCTAAAACGTTTCTCGGTGTGAATGCGGCTTTCGTGGGCTCGAAGGTGCCCTGCCGTGTCAAATGCCATTGAACATTTCTGCCCGGTGCTCGGGTCTACGTGCGGGCATTGGAAAGGTTTTTGCTTCAGATGTGCGGTCATGATGTGTTTTTGAAGGGTGGAATGCTTCCGAAACGTCTCATTGCAAGGCGGGTACTCCGTGCAGCGGTACTTATCTCGTCCATCGTGGGCAGCCAAGTGTCGACGGAGCCGCGAGCCGGTCACGAAGCTCTTCCCACAGCCAGGACGGTCACATACGTAGTCTCGGACCCCAGTGTGTGCGCTTTTGATATGGTGATTCAGATGAGATGCGCGGAGGAACGTCTTGTCACATTCTTCGAATGTGCACTTGAAGATTCTCTCATTGTTATGGGAGCGCAGGTGTTCTTGAAGCCGCGCTGGCCGGTTGAATGCCTTTGTGCAACCATCGAAGGGGCAGCGGTGGGTTTTCAGCTCCGAAGGATATTTAGCTGAGGTTGTAGAGAACGGTGTCGCCGGAGTCTCGTGGAGACTGTCGCTGTTCACACTCGCTTCATCGGAAGATACATAATCGGGATCTGACTGAGGCTCTTCGTATATCTGATCTGCGACAGCGATGTTCAGCTCCAGAGCCAATTCAATCCCGGTGTCAAGCGTCTTACCAGCATCGTCCAGGGCCGTGTGTTTCCGAGATTTGTTCGGGATAGCGAGCGCATCCGACTCCAGTTTGCGCTTCTCACCCATGGCTCAAACAGAGCCCTTGATATTAGGCTTTCACAGGAAGACAACCATTAAGAGCATAGACTGAACAATGGTCAACGCATTAAGCGCACATTCAACTGCTGATAAGGACGTCTTATATTTAAAAATTTTGCCAGGGCCTGATATTAAAAGCGGTGACGAAGCTGACCCGAAAGGGCTTAGGGTCAAACGGGGCCAAGGAACTTTTTCCGCCGCCATTTTTGGAGGGTCGCGACATCGAAATCTTCGTCTTCATCAAGCCTGTCGCAAGGTCGATCTTTCCGCGGCGTCTCAATTCCTGGACGTGATATTGGTCGTCCCTTCATTTGTGTGGCTGCTGAACACGCTCGCTTGATTATTATCCATTTGGTTTGCCAGCTTCAATTTGACACCATGTCTGACTACGGAGATCACGACGCTGAGGAAACGTAAGGACACCTCATTTAGACTGCATTTTCCAGTCTGGATTGGAAGCAGTCCACTTGCTCGCTGCACAATCCACTGGCAAAAATGGTTTCTTGAGCTAGTTCAGCCGTTCTGACTCGCACATTTTACAGCTACGACTACGAGCCGGCGGAGGAGGTGTTCGACGAGAATGAGCCCGAAGACTTCATAAACCCCGAGGATATCGAAGCTGCCGAGGGAGGCGCCGATAGCTATGCGGATGATGCTTATACGCCGGCAGTCAATGGTGACCGTATTGTCGTCTCTGGCGATCCCAGTGCGGGATATTCGGGCAAGGTCGTGGAACAAGCACGGGCGAAGAAAATCCCTAACGAAGAACGCAAGACAACCCCGTACATGACCAAATACGAAAGGGCACGAGTCCTGGGTACCAGAGCTTTGCAGATCAGGTTCGTCATCGTGCGAGATGTGGCATGCGAAGACCGTGGAACTGACCTTTGTCACAGTATGAATGCTCCTGTGCTTGTAGATCTCGAGGGAGAGACAGATCCTTTGCAGATTGCCATCAAGGAGCTGAACCAGAAGAAGATCCCACTCATTGTGAGGAGATATCTGCCAGATGGAACGTAAGCTATCCCTTCACCTTGAGCATGGACGCAAGTCTAATCCGCCTTCAAAAATCTAGGTACGAGGACTGGACGTGTGAAGAGTTACTCTAAATCTGATCACACTTTGGGTGGATGTCTGTTGAGACGGAGCTATTTGTTTCTACTTGTCATTCCAATTATGGTCTTCTGATTTGACGTCCCGCATAGCGTTCGGAGTTTGGGAGCAGGAAGCGAACCGTTCATTGCATTGCTAATGATCCGGTCGCCGGGATTTGGAATTAAGCAAAGAACAGAAAAACAAGTATACTTGACGTTTGATGGATAGAATATGAAAAAAAAGTTACGTTCACTCCATTGGTCCGGGTATTATCCACGTCCTCAAACACCTGGAGTTTCCAATAGTCTCTAGCATTTCCAACAAAAGGTATGCTATATGTACTGTCTGGAAGCCTGCGCTCACAGCAGTCGAGCATAACTCCCTATTGCACGATATCAGGGCAAAGCATAATGGAACACCACGAAGTATGCGAAGGGTGAAGAGTACCGGAGAGTTCCCCCTGAAGGGTACGAAACCTCCATTTCTTTTGTCCCTTTGCAGGCTGGAGTAGCGGTTACGACAAGACGAGTAGATAGCAAGTCTGTACCTCCACCTGACCTCAGTGATTTTGAGCTTGATGAACTCGTGTTGGTGGACTCCAATATGATGCGATCTGTCCGATGTCTGTAACCATAAGGATACAGCCTTCTTCCAAAAGAAGCTTAGCGTGAGATCCGACAGCATGTGATAACAACCAGGCTGTCAACACAATGTTGCTTTCGCAGTATCATACAGTAATCATCAACATATTCTTCAATCGTGCGGATACTGTTACGATCTCCGCGGATATCGTTATAATCTTGAATTCTGTCTCTCATCTCTCCATAACTGCAAATGGGAAGCTAAAGTCTGGTTCATGCTCCCGAACGATCTGACTCGGGTAAAGCACACGGAGATCGAAATGCGGGAAAACGTGGATTCGGTCTTTCGGAGTCTGCCGCAAAGCCCCCGAGTTGGCGATCCACATTCCGCCGCAAAGTCAAGTCTTACTGTGATCTTTTCTTTTTACTTGGCTTCAGACGCGTTTAGATTAACTTCAATTCTTCGTCTGTTCAGAATTTCAACATGATCAGGGGAACTTTATTCTTGTGTCCAGCAGCATCCAAAGCTACTGTTAGGGCGCAATCTTATGCGCCTCGTTTTTATTATTAATGAGAATCAAGCCTCAAGCATCATGAAGTAAGCATATCCTTCCCCGCTGGATAAGTCGGCACATCACGTTGTCCATGCTTTTGGGCCCCTGGGACGCCTTAGTTCACCCCGGGCCCGTTCTAATTGCTACCTCATCTGATAATCAATCACAGTTACAGCGGATCTTATGCGAAAGCATATGACCATATTGCCTACTTGTCTTCAAGGCCTGAGTTCGCTACCGACTTTGGTAGTTGAGTGGGCCCTTGTCCCTCGGTTATCCATGGAGCCGTTGGCCATTATTGCTTGAATGGAGAAGACTTTCGGAGTTACCCCAAGAACAAGGATGAATTCTTCCAGGCTTCTAGCGGTAGTCAATGCCGCAAGTATTTACTACACCTATCAAATCTTGACCTGTAGGGTCAAAGGGCGCGGTCCGATACAACCGACGCCCAAAAAAGGGTTTATGTCTAGAGTTTGGAGTCTTGAAGACTGACTCACTCCTCTGATCTCCCTAGGAATGCTTATGAATCGGCTCACAGTGGATCTCTCCTTCGTATCGGTACTCTGGCTGGCAAGCTTGGGATTTTTTGGTTGCCCCGCTGACTCTTAAGGGTTGCTGAGAAATCCAGATCGTATATAAATTTGGTCTTGCGCATCTGCTGCTTTTTCCGTGTCGCATGTGATAGAATTGACAGCTGTTGGGTGATTCTTGATTTGAATTATTTTCCTCCGCTTTGAATCAATTCATCGTCGGTCTTCAACTTGTATTTCTATGCGGACTTTTTGACTATACATCCCCTTCTTGCATAATTCGCCGTCACGTCTCCGCTACATATAGAATCGGCCGTGGTTCATCGCGCGCTGAGTCCGATCTGTACGATATTGCTCTAGAAGGACAGGAATGGGGATGGGGGCACATGCGGAGGATACGGCCGTTGCGCCCTCGGCGAATAGCAACAATGATGAGAGCAATATGCGCACATCCGACACATCAGAACAGCAGTCCGGAGAGAAATATTCAGAAGAGCCAACCTTCGATACAGGCGTCCTGGCATGGCTGCAGGTCGTTGGGTCATTCTTCCTATTCTTCAACTCATGGTAGGTACTTTCTCAATGCATGACAGTTTGAGTCTGCTCTTTCGAACCGCTAATCGCAAGGTCGTCTTAGGGGTGTGATCAATACATGGGGCGCTTTCCAGACATACTATGAACAAAATCTTCTCTCCAATGTTTCGTCATCGTCCATTGCCTGGATTGGATCTCTGCAATCGTTTCTTCTGATGCTCTTTGGAGTAGTGACCGGCCCGTTGTTTGACGCGGGATACTTTCGAGCTCTGGTCATATTTGGCACCGTCATGCTCTCATTTGCCTTGATGATGACCAGTATCTCTTCGCAGTATTGGCACTTGATCCTCTGTCAGGGAATCTGTGTCGGCCTGGCTGCTGGATGCCTATTCGTTCCCTCGGTTGCTATTCTTCCGCAATACTTCAAGCGGAAGCGAGGATTAGCCAACGGAGTGGCAGCTTCAGGCAGCAGTATTGGGGGTGTGGTCTATCCGATAATGTTCAATAAGCTGCAGGACCAAGTTGGATTTGCGTGGGCGACTCGCGCGCTGGGCTTCGTAGCTTTCGGAACCTGCTGCATCTCCCTATCACTCATGCGCATGCGATTTATGCCTACCGAGAAACGCAAATTGGTCCAGCTGTCTGCCTTTAAAGAACCAGCGTTCGTGATGTTCGCCGTTGCCATGTTTCTGGGCTTCCTGGGCTTCTATAACTTCTTGTTCTACGTGCAGTCCTATGCCATCGACACGGGAATCGTCGATGCGAATCTGGGGTTCTATCTGCTCTCCATGCTTAACGCGGGTTCTACCGTGGGACGAATCTTTCCCAACTTCGTTGCTGATCACACCGGCCCTCTGAACATGATGACGCCAGCTGCCACAGCTACGGCTGTTCTGGCCTTTGCCTGGATTGGCGTGCACAATGTACCCGGCATCATTGTTCTTGCCGTCCTGTACGGACTCTGCTCCGGTGGGTTTGTCTCACTCCCACCGGTAGTCATGGTCACTTTGACCAAAGATATGCGCGACCTGGGTACTCGTCTTGGCATGATCTTCGCCACAACCTCGATTGGTTTGCTGATTGGAACACCAATTGGTGGAGCCATCATGGGTGATACCCATAAATACCTCGGGGTTCAACTCTTTACCGCTTGCTGCCTCATCACGGCAGCCGCTATTTTTGCGGCCCTGCGATTCTCGCGCACCGGGCCGCGGCTGCTCGTCAGAGCATGATAGCCACCAGTGTTACCAACATTGCACGACTCATGCGAAGCGTTTGTGGCTTATTCAAAGCACATGTTATAATAATCGGTACACATGACAGATGCATCAGTCGGTTTCAGGGTCATAGATCAATATTGCATTATAGAGTGAGGCCGTGGCTTTGCTTTCGGGTTTGCATCGTGAACAGTTGTTCATGGGTTCTTCGCATTGTTTCATATATACACCATGCATGATATGGTCTAGCATTCTCAGTGAAAAAATAAAAGTGATTTTGTCTATCATCATCCCATGTTTTCGAATCCATATTGCCGCAGAAAACCATAGTATAAACCCCCAACGCCAGCATGCTAAATCAACTGCATCAAGCCCCACAGCCCGCTCAAACGGAAAGACGAACGCTACCTGCTACGAAACATCCTCCGGATTCACCAAAAACTCCTCCCCATTCTCGCGTATATGCTGCAATTTCTT